ATTTGCTCAAGATTTCACTGATTATCTATCTGTTCATCAAGTCTACTCTTATGTTTTCGAGGGTGTGTGGGTGGGTGTGGGTGTGGGGTGGGTGTGGGTGTGGGTATGGGTGTGGGTGTAGGTGTAGGTGTGGGTGTGGGTGTGAATGTGGGTGTGGGTGTGGGTGTGGGTGTGGGTGTGGGTGTGGGTGTGGTTGTGGGCATCTCTACTCTCACCCATGCCCACACCCACATCCACCCACACCCTTCCGATCATTCTTTGTCTAATTTGGACATCATTTTTTATTTTTATTTTGAAATAGTGGTTATATGCCCATTTTGTCTAATGAATGGGATTACAGTTCTGTTAATTGTAGCATTTCATGTTATTTTACGGCTAACTTTCTTGGTCAGTTTGATTTTATTTCCAATATATCGGCTCCTGTTATGTTAATTATGTTTGCAAATCTAAAATTATTTATTCGAGTGACTTACCAAAAGATGGCTCGATGTCAAGTAATAAACTGGCGATAACATCGCAAAATTGTACTTCAATTATGAATCATTTAATCACTTTACATGGCATTTTGGATGTCTATGACAATAACGCAATTAATCCAAATAACTATCATGCCTTAATTTATGATTGATCAACTGCAAACAATTCTTTTCGTGGTCTATGTTATTCGACTCTTTCTCACAATGATATGCATTAGTACACAGCCTGAGTTAGTTAAGAAAATAACGAATGCTATTCCAATGCGAAAATTAAATGTCATTGGCGCTGCTACTTTCAGTTGTGACTTAGAACAAGCAGCGACGAATACGAATACCCAGTAACTTTTTTTTTTGAAGAATAGCGTGGACGGCGCATATTATTTTTTTTTGGCGAACTAACTGTTGTGTAAAAAGTTGACCTCTGTTTAATAAAATGTATCAAGAAACTAATTCCAGATCTCTTATGATCACACGCTATCCGTAAAAGTTTTAGTAGTTGAGAAGAATAAAGCGAATCATACTTTGTCTGATAATTGTTCACATATTTTCAATACTTGTTTTTCTAGAGAAATCTTCCGAGGAGGTACAAATGCAATATATTTGTTTCCTATTGCTTCCATTGAATGCTTTACTTGCTGCATGGGTATGCATATGACAGTGGAGTTTGCAGCAAAACAATTATAGAAAGAAAAAAAATATTGACCCATTCCCACACCCTGAATACTGTACAGGATTGTGCCTTGAAGTCAGCTGTCTTCTCCACAAATTAAATCCAATGTAATAGTATAATTTTGTAGAACTTCAAAGGAGCTATCGCATAGCGCCTGCTGCAAGTTGAACCTGTATTCTTTTAGTATCATAAAATTGAATTTTCTCATGATTATCCGTATAATGGTGTATAAGGCTGTATGAGGTCATCTCAATAAAATAATGAAAGAAGGAAAGAGTGTGGGTGTGGGCGCGGGTGTGGGTATGAGTATGAATGATGTTTTATTCTGTACATCCATACACACCCACACCCACACCCCCACCCAGACCCAACTATTCTCTACAAAATTTCGGAGGATATGACTTAGAGTTGCTCAAAGGCTTCCATTGAATGAAGTGAGTCCTATTTGTTTTCAATGCTCGCATCTGTGTTTAGCCTCTTTCTAATCTAGTAGTTCCATCAAAAGCAATGTCTCTAAAGAAGTTTGAAAAAACAATGTGTGGTGAATACAAGTGAATGAGATACGTATATCCGCAGAAAATGTGAGTTACGTCTGTCAAGCACTTCGTAAGATACTGCTACCAAAGAATCTCTTCCGGGAAAGGATCATTTTTAGCGCTCTTAGGGAGATGCTCATAAAATATCGAGACAAGAATATTTGCTAGCGTTAGTATTCAAAGAACAACTTGTTCTATAAAACATCTTAAAATATGAAATTCGCAAATCAACCAACTCTGATTTGATCTCTTTACCATTATTGTTAAAATTTGATGTTTTTTTTCTAATAGAGTTATTTGTGTATATTATTTTTGTGAGACCTGTTCCTTGAATCGTCGTGCTTGCACTCTGAAACTTCTTCGTTTGTGTACGAATTTATAGCATTGTTAAACTGGCATTGAACCATGGAAGTATATATATTTTTCCCTCGGATTATGTTGGATCGATAGAGTGTTAACGTAGGAGATATCAGTACTTGTCCAGATAGTAATATTGCATTAACCGATAACAGTCTCGAAGCGTCGAAAGATTTGTTTGACCTAGCTAATGTAACATGAGGAATAAAGGGTCTACCATCAATAGCAAAACCAAACATTGCAAAATATCCAGCTATTTGATCAACAAGTCTTTTGAGATGACCATCAGAATCATTTAACGTAGCCACGATGTATTTTGTTTTATCGGGTGATGGAAAACCAGTTATAGTGTTTAGTGATAGTTGAAATGGTGCTGAAGCATGAGCCCAAATTTTCATTTGTTCTGTTATTTTTTCCAAGAGAAATGTATCAATATTGCCCAAGAATTTCAATGTAACATGATAATGATAGACGGTTTGCCAATAAAGCCCATCCGAAGCATGCAATGAACGAAGTGTACGGACCAATGTTTCAAGAGTTTTCAAACCATCTTCATTGAAACTGAGCGCCATAAATGCCCGAAACGTGTACTTGTTTGAGGATGATGCCATAAGAATATTCTTAGTTTCACTCTAAATTTTCGTACAATACAATCTGAAACGAGTCTTGAAGTGTTCAGAGTAGAAAGGAATTTTGATGCATAAGATGGGTTGCATTATCATCTGATTGAGAAAAAATGCTTCGTAACACTATTCCTGATAAAGTATTCAAAATTCCAAATATTCAAGTGTAATTTGCCTATACGGGCATCCTGATTACAGTAGCGTCAAACCTGAAACTTGAATTCAACTATTGAAATTTCACTTCAACTATTCAACTATTCAATTATTGAATAGTTGAAACTTCAATTATTTGAGTATCCAATTATTACTTTTCGAATAGTTGAACTTCACCTACACAATTATTCCTTTTTCGGAAGCTCCTTCGCCCTCACCCTCATCTGATGCTGTGATGTGTGATAGAGAGAACGACAAGTTTATCGAAAAAGGAATAATTGAATACTTAAATAGTTGAACTTCAATTATTCAAAAACTGACCCATGTAAAAATTTTTGCTAATTTAACGAAACTTTGTGACGTGAAAATTCGTTAAAAATTTAACGAATTAGCGATTAAAAATGTTACAATTTTGATCACGAAAACGCGTTAAACGTCCGCAAAATTAACGCGTTTTCAAATTCTAACGATCTTTTTTTCGTTAAATCAGTACATTTTTAATGATTATTCACAAGTGAATTTATCGAAAACGCGTTAAATACGAAAGCTGATTAATATGTTACCCCTCAGAATTTTTCATACATTATTATTTACTGCAAGTATGATGAACTTCCTTCAATAATCGGTATCTTGCTTAGTTTCACTCGTCTGAAGAGAAAAGTCCAGGTAATCAATTCAATATTGGATGTACTTTTTAATAAGATGCTTCAGAAAGCATTGTTATCACTATAAATATTTCGTAATAGATAGCAACACCAACGAGGAAGTACAATATTTTGTTTTTATTTTGTCGATATCTCGAAAGTGAAACTATTTATGGCTTTAGTTGCTACAATTTTGCATTCTTATAGGTACCAGAAATGTATTCCATAGTTGACGGAAATGATAAGACTATTACTAGTTTAAAATCTGGGATATCGACAAAGTAAAAAAAAAAATATTGTACTCTTTGATTTGTTTCGCTATCAATTACGAAATAGTTTTAGTGATAATAATGTTATCTTAAGCATCTTATTAGAAAGTACATCCACTGTTGAATTGATTAGCTGGATTTTTCTCCTCAGACGAGTAAAACTTAGCAAGATATTGATCATTGAAGAAATTTCATCATATTTGTGGTGAATCACAATATATGAAAAATCCTGAGAAGTAATACATTCATTAGCTTGAACTATGGAAAGACAGATTACATGAACTAATATAATTTAATTACCCCTTTCGTCTTAACTTAGTTTATCAGCTTACGTATTTAACAGAGATGAACCAGTCATAGTTTTCATATTAGATCTAGATTCTATAAGCGAAAAACTCAACTCAGCTCAACTCAATAGCGTAAAAGAGGAATTTATATCAATACATACTTATATAGGTGGCATGTAGCTCGAGTGAGAAAATTAAAATATCACAGGTGTGAAAACGAATACAGCATTTAACGATATATAATGAGTTAGTTACCATTAAAATGACAATCACACGTGAAAAATCTAACGCGTTAAAACGAATTTTCCAAATCTAACAAAAATTCATGAAAATTTTCTTCGTGAAACTTCATTAATTTGCCTTTTAAGGCAAATTTTGACCTTAACTGGAGCAATTATTTCGCTAAACTTTTTTTAATTATGTGAAGCAGAAATGATGATGATGTACGAAGTATAGAATTACATTCCTTTGATATAAAACCCATAGTAAATTTTAAAGAAAAACTGAAAGAAGATTATCTTTGTCTAGGATTAATTTAAGTAGTTTTGCTAGCGATTAATACAAAGTAGAGATTTCTCTAAAGGAGTGCTGCCTAATCTGATAAAAAGCTTTTGATATCTGGATTGATATAGTCCACAGACACACTTGATATTTCGTAAATATAAGCCTTTCAAGATGATTTTTGTGTAATGTGCATAAACAAATATGTTACACAAAAAATCATGAATATTGTACGGGTGAAAACAATTACTAGATTCAATGATGAATATTTTAATGATGTTCGTTAACAATTAAGATTTTCATTAAAACTCGTTAAAATATTTCACTCGTGAAAATAGTTACTAGATTTAACGAGAATCAATCAGTTAAGTTTCATGAAAAATACAGAAATGCATGAAAACGCGTTAATATGTTTAACGCATGAAAATGAATACTAAGTTTAACGATATTTAACATGGTAAGATTGGTTAAAAATAAAAAAAACTCAAGAAATATCGTTAAACTTCTTAACGCATGAAAATGAATGCAACGTTTAACGATATATAATGAGTTAGTTATAGTTAAAACGACAATCACGCGTGAAAAAGCGTGAAAAATCTAACGTGTTTACGCGAGTTTTCGAAATATAACGAAAGTTCATGAAATTTTCTTCGTGAAATTTCGTTAATTTGTCTTTTAAAGCATTTTTTTGTGTTAATTTCAAGAATCATTTCGTTAAATACCTTTTTATTTTTACATGGGGAATAGTTGAATGAAAATTTCAATAATTGAATTCAAGTTTCAGGTTTGACATATATGGATTGATCCTTAACAAGTAGTTTTTTTCCTATAACTTGATTTCTATTGGTTATTGCTCAAGCAATGAGATTTTGAGGCAAGTGGAGTACGGATTCAAGTTCTCCACCCTAGAAAACCTCGAACTATCATCTCCGTGATCAGAAGACAGATCTCAAATTGTGGATCAATTTGAGCGTGTCCAAAAACCTCGCCGATTTTCGTTTAATTATCTTTGCAATAGGTCAGTTAGCCTTCTTGTTTCCTTATTTTTTTATATACCATTTTTTAGCTCGTGAAATTCTCTATCAAATGGTATATAAGTACTTAGGGTTTTATTAGACTATGATAGAACAAGTTTTTTACGAAAGCGAGGATACGTCGATCTTCCCATAGGGACGAATGCTTTACAGAGATGTACGAATACAAATACAATTTGTAGTGTCACCAATCAATGTAGTGGGGAAAATAGCCAAGAATATGCATAATTCGTGTTTGCTTGTAGTCCTTTGTAGTGATGATTTTTCTCCCACTACATGTTCTACAGATGCCATGTTGCTTTTGCACTCTCAGGTACTACAACGTACGGCAAATGACAATATGAGAGAACAAATTTTCCTAACTCTAGGTTTTGGTGAATCATATTTTTCGGAACTAAAAATTGCAGTCCTATTTTCAAGGCAAGCGCACTACAAAACAATGTTCTTCTAAAAAATGGGAGTTTCTTGTCCGAGTTAATTTCATTCAAAAAGATTGTCTAATTTAATAAAGAAATGGCTGAATAAAAAACATTTTCAATTCAGTTTTGATTATGTGAATATATCTCTAATTTGTTTACAACATCTATCTAACTCATTGTATTTTAATTTAAATCGACGGATTCAGTTTTTCAAAAAATCCAAACGTGATTTGCAAATCCTAAAAGTTTCATGCGATTCAGAGAAAGTTGTGAATTTTGTGGTAGAGACTCCATGGATTTACCTTTATATAATAAAAGTGAAAAATATATCATATTCTAATAATATTAATGATAGCTATTTGGAATATTTACTGTTTAATTCACCAGGAATATTTTGTTCAATCCATAAATCAGATTCTAATCCTTGGATAGTAGCAGAATTACCATCTTGTATAGCTATATTAATGGATTACTAAAAGTGTAAAATACTAAGAAATACTTTCCTGTTTTATTTTCAATGAATAAAAACTGAATTTCATATATACATTTATATAGGATTCTTTTTGTTGTTATAATTATAGGAAAGACGCTGGATGATAAAAATTTCTCGACTGTAACAAAAAAGAAAATAACCTATTGCGTCAAAGCAGATGTATAAACACAAGGTACACCTCCAAGTTTATTTTTCCTTATTTTTTATTGATTTGATGTGCACCTTCACATGATTACATCTAATGACGTCATTATTTACTCTTTATTTTGCTTGGGGTTCGTTGTGTTTCTTTATTTCAATGAGTAATTATGTTTTTCACACAAGAAATATTTGAATAATCATAATGTGTCATTGCTAATGTTTTTCTCCCACATGCTCGTTGTTTTTATTTAACAAGAGTAAATTTTTATTGATAATATTTTGAAATAATTCTTAATTTAAAAAGATAAACATAAACTAAACAACTGCTATTTTAGATAAAGAAAAACTATAAATGTTCATTAATGGATGAAAAAAAAAACTTACTCATTCTATTTCGTCAAAGTAAATGCTTACAAAAAAACAAGTAACGCAGCGCAAACGCTGCTAACCCTCTACTGAAAGAATGAGTTGCATTGAAGATAGGATATTAGAAGTACTAGATGCGAGAAACGATTCGTTGACAGCACGCTAAGGAGCAGAATGAAACAACCCATTATTCTAAAAGATATTGAAATGTAGATTCCTCTATTCGGTAATCCCTGCGAAAAATGTATATTCTGAGCATGTCCAAAATATGCTTTATATCCCCATGATATCTGATATCATCAGCATTCAGCGTACTCGCCTTGTCCAGCTGAATATTCTTATAGAATTATCTGTAGTCTGATCAACGTGTTAGTATCGCTTCCACGAGTTTGAGAATGTCTGAAATTTGAAACGAAGGAGTCGAAAATGACAAAAAGGCCTGTGTTAGCGCCTGAAAAGAAAATGTGCTTGCAACAAGATGAGTATTGAGATCTCTGGCTCCAAAAAAGCCATCTTTGTTACTTCTGTTTCATGAAAAAGTCTGTTAGCGCAGCTCCCTTTATGGTAAAAATATAGAACTCATATATAATCTCTAGCCTAATTAAAATAATATGTAATCCATAAAGTGATCGGTCTCTCGTA